TCAATCTACCAATTTTTAAGTCTGGAACCTCGCACTCGTTTTGGTTTCAAAGGGTGTCATCACCGGCCAAAATGCTTCTGGACACTACAGCTACAAACTTAGCTTAAACCATCTCCATATTACAAAAACGATTGTGACTGGCTTGACCTGAATCAGGCTGGATGGAAATCAGTCTGAAATGGAGAGAGTCCAGAGGAATCTGCCAGAGCAAATGAAACATGAGCTGGTGGATATTTATTGTTTCCAGGCCAATACACACCATCCAAATATCTACTAATGTATGAATAGAGCTTGAAATTGTCCTGAATCTAAGCAGTAATTACTCCTATTTGAGTTGTATATGCTTGCTTAGAAGCACAGTACCCTTGCATTTTATATAATAGAAAAAACAAGTACATTTTTTGACATCATCAGTAACATATAGACTTTAGCTTTTTGTTTTTAAAGGTTTATTTTGGTGCCTTTAGTTCCTTTATTTTAGAGACACGACCTGTGCATAGAGTCAGAAATGTGGAGAGAGAAATTGGGGGAATGACATGAGCCACAGGTCGGGTTAGAACCTGATTGGCCGCCCGCTTGGAGGACTGAAGGCTCTGAATATGGGCCGCATGCACTAACCACTAGGCCACCGGCGCCCCCAAGTAGTGAAAGTTTGAGTGACAGATTGAAAGTTTGGTTGGCTATGCTCTATTTCCACAATTCTTTAATTCTCTGTCTCTCTGTGTTCTCTCACCATTTCTGGGCTTTTCTTCTGTCCCTCACTCCTATGATAAATAATTGAACATTTGGTTTCCTATTTTAGACCATCTGTGTAGTCAAAGCTATCGTGTGTGTGTGTGAGTGTGTGTGTGTGTGTGTGTGTATGTGTGTGTGCGCTTGACATGCTGTACAGTTTTTGTGTGTAAGTGTGTTAAAAACCCACCAGAGGGGAATAGAAGAAAAGTAGGAGACGTTTTGAAAAAAAGAAAATGTCTTCCACTTCAGCAAGATTTTATTTTAGTCACTGACACACTTTCTCACTTCAGAGCATCCCCTCACTCTGAATCATCTCTGTGTTAGTTGTCCCAAGTGGTTTTCCCTAAACATCCCAGCTTTATCTGCTTTGTAGGACTGTTACATTTGACAGATTTGACAGAAGCTTTGGCTTTACAAGCATTTGTGGAAACCAGAAACAGTCCAGACATTCATTTGTATGTATTTGCTTTATTTTGAATAATAAAACATCCAAGGATTTTTCTTCTTCTTCTTCTTCTGAGGGATCACCCTTTAAGAACAAGTTATTTTTAAAGGGACACTTCACAGATTCCTAAGCCATGTTCAGTTTACTTGTCTAGTGGTGTGTAAATAGATTTTCTGTGTCTGGAAGAGGTCTGCAGAGGAGGAAATCATCTTAATAATATGACAGAAACTGTTTGCGTCAACACTACAGGCATGAGCAATTGATAATAAAATGTATAAAACATGGACAGAGTCTCAGTGATGACAACCATTGGTTTCTGAAGTGGAGTTATGAAGCCAACCTTGGCGGTTGCCATATTGGATTCAACCTAACATTTGATCTATCTAGAAAAAAGATAAAGAGGTGGAGGAAGGCCTTGTGTCCACAAACAGCGCCTTCTGCTCTAGATGTGCTTATGACGTCCGTTACAGATCGCTTCTCGGCAGTGCTCATTGTTGCTAGGTTACGAAAGTTCATTTCTGTAATGTCTGCTCAACATGAAAACAACGTAAAGGAGTCGTGTCCTGGCATCAGCAGCAGCTCCATGGAAATCTTGCTTCTTATTGGTCAGTGAGGGAGTTGTTATGGGTTGCAGTCTTAGCTTTAAACATTTTAAAATCTGACTTTGAATAAACTATGACTTCCTATTTTCCATTTGTAAAAATTCCGCCCACTGTTTGATTTTACTTCCTGTCCTTACTGGCCATGAAGGGATCCCCTCTTGATGAACAAGATAAAAAAATAATTTAATTTTAAGAGTAAGCTGGAAGAAGCAGCCAATGTAACAAACAAAATAACAAGCACTAGTTTCCCTGCGAATGAGCATTGTTACAAGTTTGACGGTTAAAGCGATGACAGAGAGATGATTTGTGGCGAGTCTTAAAAAACCAAGCCTCTATTTAATTCAGCCTCGTTAAACCCCCCTCTTCAACACATGAACTGAAGTTCTGTGTGTTTGTGTGAAACGGTGGGTGTGAAGCCTTATCTTCTGTTGCACTGTAATTTTCCCTGGATTGCAAAGGCGGGCTCGACTCTCTGATTGAAACGGCTCTCAGTAAACCTTCAATTACAGGCAGGGGTCTCAGATTGAGCCATTTAGGCATCAGCTGAGCGTGTGTGAGTGTGCACATGGGGGGGGGGATCCAAGTGAATGAGGGACAGAAGGTCAGAGAAATACATCAGAAAGACTCTGTAAAAAAAAATAATCTGAAGGGAAGCGTCAGAAATAACTATGGAGGTTACAAGAACAAGAACGCGAGAAGAAAAATGGTATAGAAACGGGTGAAATGCAGAGCAGGGCAGTCAGAGGAGAGACGGGTAAATTAATGAAGAGTGGGATGATGTGAGGGAGCACGAAATCGGGAGAACAGAGAGGCAAATGGCAGAGAGAGGGGGAAGGGATGAAAGAGGAGTGACATACAAAGAGAGATGAGAGAGACAGAGATGTGATGTGTATGACGTGAAGACAGGCAAAGAGTTAAAGAAAGACATATTTAATTGAGTGAGAAAGCTCAAATATAGATGTGCATAGCCGTACATGTAAAAAAAAAAAACAACAACATAGCTTTGGGGCTGAAACATCAGAACTTTCAAGTAAACTTGTTTCCTGGGTTTTATTTGCACATACAGCAGATATTCATCTACATGGTTATTTGGAGTCCTGTTTGTCTCCCCAGGTTCAGTAATGACTCTTTTAGCTCTGTTTTAGTCTCAACCAGCTCAAATGTGTTGGTCTCTTGCTGAGAAACGCTTCTTTACAATGATTACCTTTCTTATTGTCTGCTGTTATTTGATTAAGTTTGTATTGTACTATTGGAATGTAGCGCTTTTTCAAATGAGCACCAAAAAGTTCTATAACTGCAGAGGACGACTGCAGTGTTTGAGGAACATTGTAAAGAGTGATGCCTCCCTCTTTGCAGTAATTTCATTTGAAATATAAAAATGTTGATTCTCATAGCTTTAAAGGTCACATATTCGCCTCCTTTTCAACAATTAAAACATGTCTCTGAAGTTTCTTGTTCTAAATCCACTCTGATCCTGTATTTGATCATGCCTATAAACCCCTCTATTTCAGCTCTGATCAGAACAGGCTGTTTCTGTGTCTGTAGCTTTAAATGCAAATGAGCTGTGTCTGACCACGCCCCCTCTCTGGAAGGGCTTGGGTGGTGTGGACTTTCTTACATCATGCCTAATTGTTTACAGTGAGAAGGTGGACTCATAGGGCAGAACAAACACCTAGCTGTGGGAGTGTCACCCACCTGCGGGAGGGGTTACTGCCCTTTGTGATGTCACAAAGGGAAAATCTCCAAACGGCCTGTTTGAGCACACATTTTCTGAAATTGGTGCAGACTTTTTCAAAATTCGGCGGTTTTATAGACAGGCTAGGGGCGCATATCAGTGTTAGAAAAACATGGTGAAGTGTATTTTGCACAATATGTGACCTTTAAGTAAGTGTAGAGTTTTTTTTCCTCTGAAAGCTTTCCTGATAATTTAAATAATATCTTCTATTAAACGTAAGATAGAAGAAAGTGTCATTGGGTTTACACTGGACTTTCTCCCTTACAGTTTAAGTTTTATAGATTGAGAACCGTGGTGATAAAAGGTAAAGGCGAGTAGTCAAGTGGACAGGATCATTGTGAAGATGCTGAGTTGTTAGCATGAGTTATGCTTTCTCTAATGGAGGACGAGGGATAATTGGGTCATTTCATCACAGCTAAGTGACCGGACCTCATCATCAGTTAACAGCTGATGTCTATATTTCCACCACGGAAGGAGGAGGGACAAACTTAAGTGCAGAGCGGGATTGTGTTGTTAAATGAGGCTGTGTGTTGTTTGCAACAGCTCTGTGCAGGAGAAGAAGATGCTACTGGAGAGAAACAGATATATTTAAGTACAAGATGTCTGAATGCCTACAGCAAGCCCTTCTGCAAACTCTCTACAGACTCTAGCACATCTGTTAGAGCAACACACACTTACACACAAACACACACTCAAACATAGAGGGCGGCGGCTGGCTGGGAGACTAAGCTGACATATCAACCACCCAGTGTTGTAAAGGCTATGGTTTCTAAACTTGGATATTTTTTTTCTGCCGGATTGAATAAATGACCTTTAAGCTGAAATAGAAAGTGTAGTGTGTGCGTATGGATTGTGTGCTGCAAAGAGAGACTGGGCCATTGTGGTAGCATGTGTGTGTGCCTGACATGGATGTAAGCCGAGCTGCTTTCACCTGTCAGGTCCTGCCACATTAGATTTGTTACTCCCCTCTTCTTCTTCTTCTTCTTCTCTAGTTCTCTGAGAGAAGGGTTCCCCAACCTCCAGTTTCCATGTTGGTAGACCACATAGATGATGCAGAAAACTGGTTAGAAAAAGCTCTGAATTAAAGATTATTTTATTTGGGTTTTCATCATGTTTTATTAAAATTAGCCAGCAGATAGCAGGTCATGCTAAAGATGCAAAGAAAAAAAGGACTCTGGAAGCAAGATCCAGGTTAAGTTTCATCAAACAAACTCTGAATTGATTTTAAATTATTACATTAATGTAGTTAATTTCCTTTCTTGTAGATGTCAGTGTCCTTGCTATTTAGAAAACCGGCCTTAGGCTACATGAAATCTAAGTAAAACTCCTCCCTTGTCTTTTGTAATTTATGAGTTTGACTAAGATAAATTCAAGCGGGACAGAAACATGCAAATCACAAAAGTTTATTGCAACAATAAATCAAGTAAATAAACGACCATAAAGGGATGATAAGTGACAATCTGCATGTCTTATTGTCTTCCAGGTGTTGTACCTGCAGCAGGCGGAGGTCACCAGGGAGCGGGTGTATGCGATGCACCAGTCCAGCATCGATGGGGTGGAGGACATGTCGGCACTGGCCGAGCTGCACGAGGCTGCCATCATGCACAATCTGTACCAGCGCTACCAGAAGGACAACATCTATGTAAGTGCATTAAGAGAGACACCAAGAATATGTGCATGTGCTGTATGTGGTCGTGTTCTTCGTTTTGTTCTTCTCTAATAACTAGAGGGGCTGAAACAAAAACATCAGGAGCATATTCTTCCCCTATTCTATCAGGGTTTATTCTCTCTGTTTGTTTAAGCTGATGATGTTCAGGCACATTAATCATAAAGACCTTACTGCTGACCTTTTGCGACATGAAATAAAACACTGGAAGAAGCGACCATCACTACGAGCATTTGTTCGGCTCGATGATCTGATAGAGGACTCGAGACCGTTGTGAAGTCTTCTTTGTTCATGATCTGTGGACAGGAAGTCGGTGGTCACACAACACAAATAATGAAAAAGATGCATTACATAAAGTCTATAAAACTCCATTACCCACCTTGCCTGGGGAATTTTATCTCACCAATACCCACAGATGACATGAAAAGATGATGATCTCTTTTTGTGGTTATTTAATGGATGTTTAGATCAATGAATTCAGGCAAGTCAGACAAAACCTGAAACCTTATCAGACAACAGACCAATAACAGCCCTCCAGGGTGTGACCTAATCTAGATTATTAAATATTGTTCATACACAGATTTGCTTTAAGCTGAAGTATTAAGGGGTCTGTGAGGGGTCAGCTTACTGTTTCATATTGTGTGATTGCATTTCATGGATATGTATGTCATTCAGCACAGTCTAAAATGTGTGTTGTAGGAGAAAATGCACAGACACGGTAATATGACACGATGCACGACCTGCTGAGCTGAAGTTTGGAGAGCAAAGGGATGGAAAGCAGGGTGACTGCAGTCTCAGCAAAACAGCTCAAAATGATCTATCCAGTATCCATCCTCTTTTATCTTACCGGTTTGACAGCAGCTTTTGAATAAAATAGGCATTTTTTTCTCGACCCTGCTATGTTCCCTTATCCTCTCATCAAGAAAATATACATTTTTTGTTGTTTATATTTCTAGCAGAGAAATGGAATAGCTAGAATAAAAGCAAAAAAAATGATACCAAGACTAAACCTGGACTTGTGTGTTTTAGTTCCTTTGCTTTTTTTCTGGGGACATTTTTACCTTAAATGGATAGGATAGCTGAAGAGAGACAGGTAATGTTGGGAGGAGTGAGTGGGTGATGATATGCAGCACAGTGGTAATATTGGATTCAAACCCACGGCCACTGCGTCGACCGTCTTTGTCCTCTGTACATGGGCTGAGCCAAACCCACGCCTCTGAAATGACGCTTCTTGCCTCTTTGCAGACTAACATCGGGAGCATCCTGGCAGCTGTCAACCCTTACAAGCAGGTCCCGGGTATGTATGGCCCGGAGAGGGTGGACCTGTACTCCAAACACCACATAGGAGAGCTCCCGCCGCACATCTTCGCCGTGGCCAACGAGTGCTACCGCTGCATCTGGAAACGCCACGACAGTCAGTGTGTCCTCATCAGGCGAGTATGACCACTGAAGAAGATGTTTACCTTTTAGTTCACGCGTCTGTCTAGATATCTTTTTGTCTACCGGGTGTTTCATCTGTCCGTCTTTTTTTAAGTCCTGCATCAAAAAGGTTACTGCACGCTTTCCTGGCTCGCAAGTTATCCAAGACAGGGATTGTTTCTAGACGATCCAAAAAGTCCTATTTTACTACATACCCAGATGGAGTGCACATGGATTTGTGTTTCTGTATACAGGTAGTTTGCCTGATGATAATGTTAATAATAATAATCTTTATCTTTTCTAAACTCACGTTACAAAGTGTTGAAAAGAATACAACAAAGCTCAAAAAGAGGGCTTTTTATTGTTGAGAGAAAGATACTATTGATACATCTCTTTATGTTCTCAGGTAACAAGCTTTAGTTTGCTTAACTCTGTATACAGATGAGGAAAATCTGGAGAAAGTGGAGCTAGCTTTCATCAGTTTAATCTTGTTTGTTTTGTCGCTACAAAAAAAAAAATGTAAGGATGCAGTCTACCTTCAGTAGTTTAAGGTCAAGAAACCTGAGTGACACAATGTTGTTTCCTTTAGAATAATTATTTTATTCAAGATAGAAGAGAGCGAAAAATTTGAGGGACATATTTCAAGACTCCTCAAGAAAAGCTAATGTTAGCATTCAAGCAACTTCCTTGCATAACTGTTTGATATGAAAATAATTAAAATGTTCAGGGTTTTTTTTTTTTTCTTCTAGGATGAAAGAAATGTGTCGATAAAGTTCTTAGATATCTTACAATCCATTCAAAATGTTCCGAATATGAAATGATTATAAAACATCCTTATAGCTTATTAACTGCAGCTAATGGGTTTTGAATGTGTTGTTTTAACCGGAAATGTGGAGCAATAACCTCTCCAGATTTTCACTATTTATTGTCTTTTAAGTACCAGATCAATCTGTAAGTCGTGAAATGACAGTAATTCATCATTTTACTTCATTTATAGGACTTCAAAAGTGGAACATGGCAGCATGACATAACAGCATTTGAGCTTCCAACCCTGAGCGTGATATCAGAGGGAAAAGGGCTGCTGTGTGAATATGGTGAATGGTGTTTCAAACCAGGCAAACCTATGAGATGCTTCTATTTTACATGTGCTCACAGCCAACATCCCAGGCACATACACATGATGCTACAGACAGTCTGTCTTTGGGCTCAAGTGTTGGCCAAGAGGAAATGTTTCCCGGATTGTGACACCAGATGGGGCTCAGAATCCCTGGGAGAAAAGAGTGCCCTCAGCCTTTTTTCAAGGCAATCTGGCCAATGTTTGATCTACTAAATCTAAAGCGTTAACACAAATGATCTGTATCCCTAAACCCCATTAAGTCCTGCATTGTAATTTTGAGATAAATAAGTTGATATCTTGAGGAAACAACTGAAAGAAAATATATCTGTTTAGGGCTTCCATGCATTATTCCATTAAGGCAACATCTCCGTAATCCTCACCTAATGAATGTAATTTGTTTGTGCTGACATGTCTGGTAAAGAAATATCTAGCCATGCGAGACTAACATGGAGTTGAAAATTAAGGCTAAATGGGTCAACCTGGCTGTTCAGGACCAAATGTCTCATCTTGCTTTCAATAACACTCAGGCTTTGTCTCGCTCGGTTTGTTGATTAAAATAGACTGGGAGCTAATGCAATGTGTCTGCAGCTGCCAAACCCCAATATCAATGAAAGAACCCGATCAGTTAAGAGATATGTGAATGTCAGAGAAGGTCACAGGGTGTTTGATTAGATTGGGTTGTGTGTGTGTCCTCAGTGGTGAATCAGGGGCTGGGAAGACAGAAAGCACTAAACTGTTGCTTCAGTTCCTGTCGGTGATGAGCCAGAACTCATCCGGGACGCCCTCATCAGAGAAATCTACACGAGTGGAGCAGGCCATCGTACAGAGCAGGTACGCATTATAAACCCTTACTTGTCTTTGTCACATTGATGTGATATGTGGTCTTTTGAAGTTTTGTTGTAGAAAATATGAACGGCTTTCTAGACTGGAGTCACAAGCACAAAACAGAAAGTATCACGTTCTTAAGGACAGGTCCAAGAAAAGTCACATTTCTTTAAGAACCTGAAAGCTGGCATCAATACGGGTCACTTTCTACGTCTTGTTTAATCAGTTGAACACAAAACACTCAGAGTTTCCAAGGGGATTAATTTGCAGACAAAAAAATCCAAGTATGTATTGAGTATGTATGTAAAAAGGCTGGCCCAGCAGGTGGCCCAGGTTCAAGTGCGACCTGCAGATCCTTCTCAGCACGTCATTCCACACCCTCTTTGGGTCAAAGACCAAAAATGAATCTTTAAAACATTAATATTAAAGAGTACGCAGCAGATCCACTGAACTGAGAGGCTGCAGGCTTTCAAAGTCTGCAACTTTTGTTAAAAAATGAATGAAATCCTTAAGAGATTGTCAAATAGTTGCTTTTCATTATTTTAAGGTCAATCACCAAATCGAGCATTAGATTATTCTTTGCATATTTAATGCTAACCATTAAAGTCCCATGGATTTTGAACGTCTTAAAATACTTCAACATTCTGTATATTCTAGGTGTATTTAAGTAAAATTAAGAACCCAAGGATATTGGTTTTGAAGTTAGAGTCAAGCCTTTAGGAAGTTGGACAATTTAGACCCAGATCTAAATTTCTCTACTCTACGGCTCTGATTACTACCCGGCTGCCCCTCAGTATCTGGGCTTTCTTATCGGCACAGTAAACAGATATTGTTTTGCTGAAGACGAGACTGCTTTAGTCTGTTTCCACAAATTGTAAAGTTCAGTCAAACAATGTTGCTTCTGGAATAACATCGAACAAATGTCCCCTGCAGCACATTGTGGCTGAACAGCAGGAACACAAACAAAACAAAATAAAAATTCACTAACTCTGTTGTTTTTTTTTTTCCTCTCCACAGTCCGATTATGGAAGCGTTCGGGAATGCAAAGACAGTTTACAACAACAACTCCAGCCGCTTTGGGAAATTCATCCAACTTCACTTCTCTGAGGGCGGGAACATCCAGGGAGGCTGCGTCATCGACTGTATCCTTTTATTTATAGACCTGACTAATGTATTTGTATGAAGTTAAGCAGGACCTTCTTAAAATGATTCTATTAGCTGTTGTTGTTTCCTTGACTCTTTCTTTCAGATTTACTGGAGAAGGTAAATCCATCCCTGCAGCTTGGGTTTCAGGTTTAAATTCATTGGGCATGATCGGTCAGCTTTGCTTTGTGAATCATAATGAAATGTTAATGATGGCTTTGCTGCATTGATTTTTCTGTAGAATCGTGTGGTACGACAAAACCCTGGAGAACGAAACTACCACATCTTCTACGCTCTGCTGGCGGGAGCTAACAAGGATCAAAGAGGTGAGGAAAGGATTTACTTAAGTGTCATTTCAAACATTTTTGCAGACTTCATCTATAAAGTTAGTGCGGCTGTTTATCTTTGCACAAACATTTTTTATTTTATTTCCTCCATCAGGCCAGTACTTCCTGGAGGATCCTGCAGAATCTTTCCACTACCTCAACCAATCAGGATGTCTGAAGGACAAGAGCCTGAATGACAAAAATCTGTTTAACAGTGTTATGGTAAGTGTCACTGCGTTTCTTTATTTGTTAAATAGATTGTAATTATGTCAAAATGTGTTGATAAATCTGCTCTTCTGGCAGGATTGATAAAAGTATTTACTGTATAATACGGTGGCCTGGTGAGGATCAAAAAGTTAGTCTGGTAGCTGGAGTTAGATAGAACCTGATGCAGAATCAGAACCATACTACAGTCCATCAAAAAGTGGCTTTATGGTGATATAAGCACCTCTGCAGTTAAAGGGATCTCACCTCTTTTCTCTGTGCGTTTGTGTAGGAGGCGCTGAAAGTGCTCCAGTTCACAGAGGAGGAGATCAGAGACATGTTCAAGCTGTTGTCGGGAGTCTTACAGCTGGGAAACATTGAGTTCATGACTGCAGGAGGAGCCCAGATCACCACCAAGCAAGGTCAGACGGGCAGAGCAACTTGAGGCAGGAGAGTAAAAACTTGAATAAATGCATTGCAGGGAGTGTAACACATCTTTTACCGTCTCTCAGTGGCCACTAACGTCAGTGAGCTGCTGGGCTTGGACGCCTTCCAGCTGTCTGAAGTCCTGACTCAGCGCTCCATAATCCTCAGAGGAGAGGAGATCTGCTCCCCGCTCACTATAGAGCAGGTCAGCACACACAAAACACACATACAGTACATTCATTCTCGCCTTTTTTGATCGATCACACACACACACGCTCACACGTCCATCCTCCTTGGTACAGGCCGTGGATTCCCGGGACTCTGTTGCCATGGCGTTGTATTCCCAGTGTTTCTCCTGGATCATCCTCAAGATCAATCAGAAGATCAAAGGGAAGGAGAACTTTAAATCCATCGGCATCCTGGACATCTTTGGCTTTGAGAACTTCCAGGTCAGAAATACTCAGCGGTCTTTCTGGATGTTTTATTTAATATGAGCCGACCACATGGAGATATTTTTTTTTTGCCTTTGCCTTTCAGGTGAATCGATTCGAGCAGTTTAACATAAATTACGCCAACGAGAAACTTCAGGAGTATTTCAACAAGCACATCTTCTCCCTGGAGCAGCTCGAGTACAACAGGTAAACCTCTGCAGAGTGTTCAGAACTAAACCAACAAAGGCTCATGTGCAGGACAAGTCATGTTAGAGAAACATCAACACTGTGGTCAGAAGTCATGTTACTGTACACCAGAGTATAACTGCTCGGCTTTAATCTCCACAGGGAAGGTGTCCAGTGGGACGCCATCGACTGGATGGACAACGCAGAGTGTCTGGACCTCATAGAGAAGGTAGTAGATGGATTGTTTTCTAAGTAACATCAATAACGTTTACATCTGTAATAAAGACTGCAGAAACGCCTGGGCCCCTGAAAGGCCCAGTAAGTGGGCCCTCCCAGGATATGATTTAAATCAATGTATGTGCATTCGATAAGTAGTGTGAGTGCTAGCCTCCTGGCTAACATTAGCTTCCTCTGGGCCCACTTATGCCAGTCACATAAAAAAAAAAAAGGTTTATGTCATTTGAAGAGGGTGTTTACATTTTGATGCAGGGTACATTTTCTTGAAGCAACAATAAACTAAATGTGTGTTTTTGTTGCTTTGAGAGTTAATTGTGAGTATTTAGTTGTAATATAACATTTGGTAGTTTTTGCTTAAAATTAGGTTTGTTTTTGCTAACCTCCATGGTCCCTCCTAATGCGACTGGGCCCCTGAAAGCGTTTCCCTCTATCCCCCCTTATCTGCATCCTTATCTGTTAGTTAGATTTTTTCCCTGCAACTGAATATATTCTATGCATCTGACTTTGAGTTTACAAAACAACCATGGTATTTTTGCCAAAAGCTCTGTAGACTGATTGATCTTAAAATAGTTTTTGTGATCCAGACGTTTGGTTGCAGCGTGTTGATGTGAAAGCGCCTCTCACTGGGCGTCCGCCTCAGACGCTCTCTCTGGAAGCTGATCTAATAATATCAGACTGATGTCTTAGAAAGTGGTGTTGATTTCATACAGCTGATGTAATAACGTTATTGTTTTTTTTATTTTTTTTATTCCTGTCATTTAGAAACTGGGCTTGTTGGCACTCGTGAATGAAGAGAGTCGTTTCCCCAAAGGAACAGACTTCACTCTGCTGGAGAAGCTGCACAGCAGGCACTCTGTGAGACACTTACAACGTTTTCAATATGCACTGTGCTGCTTTTCTACATCAACTTTGATTAACTTTATTTGTGCATTTTTCCCCGTCTTTTGCAGACAAACCCTTATTATGTGAAGCCCAGACTGGCTGACCATCAGTTCGGTATCAAACATTATGCCGGCGAGGTGAGCCGTGAGAAACCAAACCATTTCATTTGAACCTTCTGTGTGTTTTGTGTGACGCCTTGGATTTTAATGATACATCTCTGGTTTTTGCTCAGGTCCTGTATGATGTTAAAGGAGTACTAGAGAAGAACAGAGATACCTTCAGAGATGACATCCTGAACATGCTCAAGGACAGCAGGTACAACAATCAGACCAACAAACTACTTAATCGAACCAGAAAAAAGACCCATATTGTGTCTTATTTGAGTAAATAAAATGTTTTTAACGAGGTGTTTGCACATCCAGCTCTCTCATGAAGTAGATGACGACAAACTATCACTTGAAAAGAAAAAATCCCGCACACTACTCTTGCTAATTATCACCAATTTATTAGAAAAAATCACAACATTTCAGTCCCTCTGAACCTTTGTCAAGTCGGTCACTGACAAAGGTTTAGGATTTTTTATTTTCAAGCAAATAAAAGAAAAAAGCCTTGAAATCACAATCTGAAGATAAAGAAGTTTATCTTCCTAATATCAATCTCCAGTCAGATTCATACCATGTTTAGTTACATGTCTTTCATTGCAATGTTATTTATATATCTCTGACACAGAAGTTTATTTCTGTCAGTGTCTGAGAAAGTGGAACAAATAAATAAAGTCTGAGGACTCTGAAATCCCTCAAAATGATTTTGAACATGTCTGAAAGTTTTCTCTGTGACTCAAACAACGAGTGACAATGACGGTTAATACTTTCAAGAAATGGAAACAAAAATCATTATCAGCTGTTTTTATCCTTCATGTATCCTTCATGTATCCTTTGTGTTTCTGTTTCCTCTCAGGCTGGACTTCATCTACGACTTGTTTGAGAAGGTCGGCAGCAGGAACAATGAGGAGAAGATGGGAACGGCCAGGCGCAAACCTACTGTGAGCTCCCAGTTCAGGGTAAGTGATCCGAGCAGTTTTGACATCATTACATGAAAGTATCTAGACCCTTTCAGATTATTTTTGGATTTTTGAAGGGTGTTATTAACTTGCTGAGGACCCTAAACCCTCTGAATGCTGAAGCCAACATAAGCTGCTACGTGAAGAGGCTCTTTCTAACATCCATTTCAGAAGGCTTCATAAATACACACAGATGTATGACGTGATTAAATAGCAGCAATTCATATTTATATGCACCATGAACTATCGGGTACCCCCTTCATGCATAACAGGGGGGGTCAGGTGGGCTGAAGGTCTGTCTGGACAGGAGGAGGAACAGACTCATCTGCCAGAGAGAAAAAAAAGAGCTTAAGATTTATCTAGTTCCCAAAGTGACCCAAACACAAAAGTATGTTGAAACAAAGGGTCAAAGGGTCAACACCACAGAGAACAAAGTATTTCCATTACTTCCTGGTTCATAACTTCAGAAACGGATTGATTTTCACATTTTTTGTTGATTTCTGTTTTGTGACTTTACCAAGAAATGAATCAAGAAAAATGTTTCAGCCAATCTGAGACACAATCCTTGTCGATGTGCTAAATTTTAAAACGCTGATTTTGATTAAAAGTTTTTTTTCTCTCCTCCTTGAAACAATCATTAAAAGACTAACTGTCTCATTTCCTGAACAATTCCTTCTCTCTTCATCTCCTCAGGACTCCCTACACTCTCTCATGGCCACTCTGAGCGTATCAAACCCTTTTTTCATCCGCTGCATTAAGCCTAACATGGATAAGGTCAGTCCTCTGTCATTTCATACATTCACACTAATACTACCTCACAGCCTGATTGACAACTCTCAAATGATCTTTCATTTTATGTTAAATAATCTCTCTCGTCTGACTTGTAGAATCCAAGTAAGTTTGACCCTGAGGTCGTCCTGAACCAGCTGAGGTATTCTGGGATGTTGGAGACCGTGAAGATCCGTCGAGCCGGCTTCCCCGTCCGCAGAACCTTCAAAGACTTCTTCTCCCGGTAACAGCCTCAGTCTGTGTTTGGATTTGAGTTTGTTTCACACAAAACTCTCTATTTTTTTCCCTTTGGGTTGAAATTGTTCGATCTCTCTTTTGTTGTCTCTCACACTCTCTCTTCTTTGTGTTGTGCCTGCCAGATATAAGATCATTGCCAAAGACAAAGTAGCAGCAGCAGGAGATGATAAGAAGAAAAGTACGGACCTTTTGTTCAAATATGACAAGACAAAGAAGGAGTGGCAGTTCGGCAAGACAAAGGTAAGTTTAAGAAGCCTTTCACAGCTTCCCTTTCAAATCTCTGGACCATTAGACGTGTTAAATCAAAACCCATGACTGTTTACATTTCCTTTCATATAAGGGTTCTTCTTTATGAATTAACCCTTCACCTTTGTTCTCAGGTGTTTATGAAAGAGTCTTTGGAGCAGCTTTTAGAGAAAGATAGAGATGAAGTCCGACGCCAAGCTGCCATGATCATCCGCGCCCACCTGCTCGCTTTCTCTGCCAAGTAAGACCATCCATTAGTATGTGAAATGTGCACATTCACAAACAGAGCGTGCACCTGCTTAATCTCTTTTTTTAAAATGTATTTTCTTTTTTTTTTTAGGAAGTATTTCAAGCGCGCCCGTGCAAGCGTCATCACCCTCCAGAAACATTTAAGGCGACACATTCAACGCAGGAAGTTTGTGAAACAACGCGAGGCGACGATGGTGCTGCAGAGACACAGGCGAGGTCAGGTGGCACGTGCACGAGTCCGGAAGATCAGGGAGGAGAAAAAGAAGAAAGAGGAAGAACAGAGGAGGAAAGAGGCGGGGGAGAAGTCGACACCTGGTGAAGGGGAGCAGCAGGAAAAGGTGGACGGAAAAGCTAAATCATCGGACGAAGACGCTGGTGATTCTGTGAGTGTTTTTTTAATAAAGCAAAATAAATATAACTCTAAAACACATTGTATTTTTGGAATATTTGATGCTTAATATGTCTCTGCTTTCTTCTCTTCTTCTTCTTCTTCTTCTTCAGGAAAGTACCCGGCAGATGGAGGAGATCCTGCAGCTGGAGCGAGAGATCGAGCGCCTGCAGAAAAAGAGAGAGGACGAGGTGTCCCAGCTGTGCGAGTCCTCCAAACAGGAGCTGCAGCTGCGCCGCGACGCGGAGCTCAAACGGATGAAGAAGGAGGCGTCCCGCAAGGCCACGCAGCTCATCGACCTCCTGGACTTCGGAGGCGTGGATCCCTCACTGGGCGCAGCCGCCGCCAAGCCTGCTGCTGCTGCTGCTGCTGCTGCTGCTGCTGTGGCCAAAGCCCCTAAAGCTGCGAACGCCAGCAGAGGAGCGTCCAAAGACGAGGAGGTGGACGAAGGGTTTCACGCCGAAGAGGAGTGCATCCCTCTCCCGGACTTCCCTCCTCCTGCAGAGACCGACACTCCCCTGGATCAGGAGATCTTCGCTCACCTCCCTCCTCCGCCGCCTGCTTTTGCAGAGGGAACAGTTCCTCCTGCTCCTCCGCCTCCGCCTCCTCTGCCAGCAGACGGCATCCCTGAGGCTGGAATCCCTCCTCCTACTCCTCCTGCTCCTCCTCCTCCACCTCCACCTGGAGACGGTTCAGCTGTTCCTCCTCCACCACCACCTCATCCTCCCAAGGGAGACGGCGAGAAGAAAGAGGGGGCCAAAGCAGAGCCGGAGAGGAAGGTGAGCATGGTGGAGAGTCTAGGGGACGGGGACGAACCGATCTACAGCATGCCGGCCGACACCGAGTCCGACTACGACCAGGAGGAGGAGGAAGGGTCGGTCACAGCGGGAGACGACAGCTCCGTGTCCGGGAGCAACCGAGGGAGCGCGGCCGTGATGGACGAGGAGCACCCGAGGAAGTCAACCTGCACAAACGCCAGCATCGAGTCCTACAGAGGCAGCTCTGACTCTGTGAGGACACACACTCACATGCATCCTTACATGCGTGCACGCAGATATGTATGAGCAGCTACACACAGACAAGTGAACTATTTAAAAAAAAAAAAAAATGTCCCTACTCCTGCAATTTTCTTCTTCATCTTTCTTCATGTAAAGAAATAATTCATATCTTTTTTTTTTTTTTGATGCAGTATGCTGACAGTGACGACGAACATGACGGCATGATGGACACTGATGAAGAAGTCACTAACGGCAGAGTGACCTTGCTTAATGGAAACGGACCGCCATATTTCCACGGCTACCTCTACATGAAGGGTGTGTATACGTTATATTATCCGTGTCTTCAAAAGATGATCGTCTTAAGAATTTATTTGTCACATTTTTTTTTTTTTTCTCTCTGCTCCCTCAGCCGGTCTGATGATCCCGTGGAGGAGGCGTTGGTGTGTGTTGAAGGATGAAACCTTCATGTGGTTCCGGTCCAAGCAGGAGTCTCTAAAGTCGGGCTGGCTGTACAAGAAGGGAGGAGGCCTCTCCACTCTCTCACGGAGGTTGTTGTAGTTTTTACTGAGTGCAGCCTGCATGCTAATCAAATCAAAGTACCGTCTAACACATCAGCAGTTAGTTCGAAGACATTTCCCTTCAACGATACAGCTGTTACCATCTGTAAATAAGATCCTTCAAACTACTCAGACTTCTCGTTAAAGACCGTTTTCTGCTTAAGAGTATTTTTGTGAATCTGTCTACAATAAGAATCTGATAATAAGATATTCTGACTCTGATTCTGAAGTAAGCTCCTGTGAATAGTTGAGGTGTTCTTGTTTGTCTAACCTGATTGTTTTAACCCCCTGCAGTGCCGGACTACTTCAGCGTCCAAATCAAGCTGATGAACTTTGAATTTGTAGAGATTTTACTTTCAGAGTTAGAAATCAACCCTTTAAACTGTATATAGACTGTAACCTTCATGAAACAGACTGCTTAGTGTTGTAGTACTCGAAATTGGTCTTGGTCTCAAGACCGGTCTCGACACCACTTTTTGAAGGGCTTGTCTCGGAATTGAAACGGCTGTAACCTTCCCTGTGTTACGGTCTAAGTGAGTGACACGCCCCCCCTGCACATAAGATGATGATTTTCGGTTATATTTATGGTCTTGGACTTGTCTCGGTCTCGCCCTGCCTTGGTCTCGGCCTTGACTCGGTCTTGATCCCTAAATGTCTCGGTTTTGGAGCACTCCAGTCTTTGGTATGTCTTAGTCTCTCTCTCCCACTCTCTCTCTCGCTCTCTTTCTTTCTTTCTCTCTCTCTCTCTCCCTCCGGTTTCTGAATCTATCCGTTGTCCACTCTATCAAATAAAGGCATAAAAAGCCCAAAAAGAAAAAAAAAAGAATGAAAATCATCCAAAAGACACATTTAATACATTTAATTATTGTAGGTTTTTTCTATATAAATGAGTTGGATTGAGTCACATGCACCTTCACATTGTCTGGGTTAGACTGTCTCTGCCTTTGTTTTCATTGTGTCTCATTCCTCCTCAGAAACTGGAAGATGCGCTGGTTTGTACTCAGGGACAATAAGCTGATGTACTACGACAACGACAGCGAGGAGAAACTGAAGGGAACCATCGACATCAGAGCTGCCAAGTAGGATACCTGTACCTCCAAAACACACTCACGTCCTCCCTATCCCTCTGCTGCAGCCCTAACACCCATGCACCGTTTTTTGTTCTTGCAGAGAGATCGTGGATAATCATGAGAAGGAGAACGCTCTGAACATCGTGACGGATGAGAGGACATATCAGGTGTTTGCTGAGTCACCCGAGGATGCAAGGTGTGCTGGAGACACGAAAGGATTTATCAGTGAAAAGCTCCTTCTTGTGTCTGCGCATATGAATATATTCTGATTTTGTTTTTTGTGCTTGCGTGCAGTGGGTGGTTCAATGTGCTCAAAAAAGTACGTGTGTGCACACCTGAGCAGCTGCTGGAGATGTCCCATGAACAGGCCAACCCCAAGAACGCTGTGGTGAGTCTCAAAGGAGAATCAAATTTGATGACTTTAAATGTAAAATGTGTATTGTTTAGACATCCAAATGCCATGCCTGGTTTTAATAAAGGCTCTTTTGTTTAAGTTGTCTGTTAAAGGAACAGTGCACAATAATGATGTTTTCTTTGTTCTTCTATTCTCTTTCAGGGAACTCTTGACGTGGGCCTGATTGACTCAGTCTGTGCTTCAGATAATCCTGATCGGTAAGTCCGATCAATCAACATGAATGAAAAAGCTCATTCATATGACAGGTGAAGCACTGTTTTGTTTTTGGACTTTGTTTTCAAAATTGCTTGCAGCAGATAATAAGAGGTGATTTCAGCGTCAGTTCTTCAAAATTAAAGAGATAAAAACTCTTATTAAAAAAGAAAAAGTCCTCATGGATGATTATCTACACCCCATCTAGGCTTGGGCTACATATTTACCGACTTACACTATTAATAATTGAGTGTTAAATTACCATGTTGCAGTGCCACTGTGTCTTTAATTTCAAAAAAACGCCTCTGCGGCGAGGAAGTGTGGACAACAGGAACGCGAGGAATACAAAAGAGGAATCCTTCCTGCATCTTATCCCATCTCCACTTGTCCCATTTTTCTTTTGTAACATAACAATGAGTCAGGTCTTTTACTGCTCTTTTGTAAATCGTATCAAAATAACATTTGTTATGAATTGACACTATACAAATGAAGATTGATTGATTGATTGATTGATTGATTGATTGATTGAAAAACAAACCTTTTAAAACCTAATTTTGAACATTTGACACAAGCAGACCTGCGCGCTCTCTTTGTTTCTGTCTTGTGGTAAATCTAAAAAAAACAAAAAAAACACAACCATCTATCTCATTACTTAAACTAAAAATCTATGTACTCGGACCCTTTCAGGCCAAACTCCTTTGTCATCATTACGGCCAACCGTGTGATCCACTGCAACAGCGACACACCAGAGGAGATGCATCACTGGATCAGTCTGCTGCAGAAACCCAAAGGAGACGCCCGGATCGACGGCCAGGAGTTTCTCGTCAGAGGTGGGAATGGAGATTTAAGGAATGTGTTTTCATTTTAAAAGCTTTAAAATAGGGTCAATTATATTCCCCTCTCTCTCTCTCTCTCTCTCTCTCTCTCTCGTAACCTTTCAGGCTGGCTCCAAAAGGAGATGAAGACGAACGCTAAGAGCACCTCCCTGAAGCTGAAGAAGCGCTGGTTTGTTTTGACGCACAACTCTCTGGATTACTACAAGAGCTCAGAGAAAAACTCCTCCAAGATGGGAACTCTGGTCCTGAACTCGCTCTGCTCCATCATCCAGCCGGATGAGCGGGTGCACCGGGAGACGGGTGAGCAGAGAATATAATGAGGGATTAGACATGCGAGGTTAGGAACCAGATGTAAAGAGAAGGATGTATTTATAGGAGCATGTACGCACACGTAGAAGAGGATAATTAGGATGTCCTTCCCTATAATGTAATCATTTTATTTCATTCCTTTTTGTTCCCCCCACAGGTTACTGGAACATCATGGTGTACGGTAGAAAGCACTCGTACCGCCTCTACACCAAGATGCTGAACGAGGCCATGAGGTGGACGGCCGCCATACAGGGAGTCATAGACAGCAAGACTCC